ATAGATTTATTGTTGACAAAGGGAATTTGACGTATTTTATTGTTTTTTTGCTTATTTGTTAAATTTAGACCCTGTTACATCTACTGAATTGTTAGTGGCAGTTCATTGTAATTTTCTTCGGAAGTTATTACTCTTTTTTTTTCTACGTTAGTTTATTCCAGTGTTCACACTGTCAAAAACGTTTTTCACATTCCGGATCGTATTCATCGCACATGAGTAGCAAGAAATGTACAGCGGCAGCCACATCGGCTGCAGCGTTCGGTGATCAGGTAGCGCTGTATCGGTTATTGTTGCAACAACTCCAGGCTGCTCAAACATTCGCCTATCCAACGTTTAATCTTAATCCATATGCGGCACTGTTTCAACATCAGTTGTTGCAGGTTAGTATGGTGAACTATTTTTGACCGTAAAGTGATTTTTATATATTTCTTCAAATTAAATCAGGAATGATTTACTTTGTATTCTTTTTTTTTTTTGGTTTGTTTCGTCCGTTTCATTCTTTTGCTTCAATTTTTTGACAGGCTATTCTTATCTTTACCACCTTTATTCTTCCATTTAGTACATTGCTGTTGAAGTGTGGCTGTCAGTAATATTAACAGATATTTTTATGGCGTCGAAGATCAAATGAAAAAAAAAAAATGAGGAAGAAGATTTAAAAAAAAAAAAAAAACGAATATTTTGAGATCGTTAGGTTGAGATTTGTTTTTGTTGTTATTGTTGGTTTTTTTTTTTGCCCCCATCTGATGTTAGAAAATCATCTGTGGTATCGTTGCCGTTTTTCATTTCTATCGTTTTCCTTCAACATTTACTGCTGATTTGTCGTTTTTTTTTTCTTTCTATTTTGTTGCTCTTGCTCTTAACTTTTTGATCGTTTTCGAAAACGATTAATTAATGTTGAATTAAAGAAATGTTTAAAACTGTGAGATATATTCAATAGTTCCATTTTTTTTTTTTTTTTGCTTCTCCGTTTCTGTTATTTTTTGTAACAAAAAAAAAAGTGGAAAAAACTATTGCGAGTGCAATGAAAAAAGAAATCGTTGAGGAAGAGAAAAAATGCGATCACTAAGGCGATAGCAGAAAAAAAAAATGGGGAATTTAAGTCGAAGTAACGTTCAGGTGTTTCTTTTTTCTCTTACAGTTCTCTTCCGTTCTCACTATGTTCAAGAACTTCTGAATCAGAAAATAGTCAATTTTGTTGTAATTTAAATTTTTTCAAAGGCATTACTGGTTGTCTCAAGTTAATGCAAAGTGCATTTTAAATTTGAGATTAGCTCTTTGATGTTTATTGTTTAGTTGTCCCTATTTGTGATGGTGGTGAAGGATAAGGATAAGGAGTGCTGGGTATTAATAATGGTTCAATTAATGAAGTGATCGGAAATTGTATACCTAATATATTTCTACTGCAGTACGCAGAGTTTAAAACAAGTGTGAGAGATCGCTTGCACAATTTTTTTCTGTTAAAATTTAGATAGATAAGGGCAGGTAAACAGTGATAGCCTATGTGTTTCTTTAAAACACTTAATTTTATCATATTTTAGGCTTCAAATTCGTCACCGTCCAGCACATCGTTATCAGGCTTGCCATCATTATGGAATGGCGGCGGATTATTGCCAAATTTAAGTGATTTAACTCAACAGAACGAAAAGCGTGATGATGCAACAACAACAAAAAAAGAAGAAGATACACAAACAACAAATTCTGAGACCGAAACTACGAAAGAGGGTAACAACGAATCTGCCGTTGAAACGCAAAAACATCAAACAGAGGAGGAACAGACGGCAGCGGCAGCGTCAGCACCGGCAGCAACACCGGCAGTAGCAGTGCCCACCCGAAATGGTTCAGAGGCATCGGATTCGACAGCCAAGGAGTCAGAGACTATGCAAGTGGATAGTTGTAGTTCGGGTACTACAGAATCGTTTCGTACAACACCACGTAACGATACATGGCGACCGTTAAGATCTCGTTCATTTCTGACCGATGTGCAAGTGCTTATCCTCCATTCGCACTTCAAACGAAATCCATTTCCGTCCAAATATGAACTGTCTGCAGTTGCTGAACAAATTGGAGTTAACAAACGTGTTGTTCAGGTTATTATTTGATTGCTTCTTTCTGTTCCTAATTGCAGTATCCGGTTTTCAATTGATGTGTGCTAAATATGCTGCAGTCATAGGATCCTTTATGTTTATTGAATTTGAACTACTAGTTACAGTTAGAGTTGTTTTTATTTCAGGTATGGTTCCAGAATACACGTGCCAAAGAGCGGCGAAGTAATCGATTAGGTAATGCCACGGATCGTTATTCACGTTCGGCATGGTCATCGTCAACACATACAAAACCAAGTTTGGGTGATTCGTTGCAAATGATGGCTGCAGCATGGGCTCAACATTACAACGCTTTGAATGCCACGAATGAGGTAATTTGTGATTCATCATCAAATTTTCTAGCATTGTTTTAGTGCCCGAGAAAGAAAGAATAAAAAAGAAATGACTTTTATAAATATAGAGTTAAGGGCAAAAAAAAGGGAAGGAGAAGAGAAGCGGTGAATAAACAGTTGGCAATTTTTGTTTATTTTTTTTCCACCCTTGCTTAGTGCAGTACAGTTTTTATTTGTGGTGTATTGTTTGGCGTTCAAAAAGGTGATACTCGGCGCACAATTGATGGTGGTAATGGTGATGACGCTGATGTTAGTAAATTACGGTATCAATGGTGTAGCACCACCATAAATGGTTTTTCCACATGGTTTGCCCGGATTATCAAGGATGTCTTTAATTTTAGAGGCCTTTATTGTGCATCATTTTGATTGATGTTTTTACTATCCAATTATTTTACAAAAGGTGTTCAGTGTTGCGTGAAACGAAGCTTTAATTATTTGTAATCTGCTGCTTCTACTGCTGCCGTTTGTTTTTACTCAGACATTTTTACATAACAGCAAGAAAAAAGAGATGGAAATAAAAATAGAAAAAACAAACAAAAATTGAGCAAATATTGTTAAAATTTAGAGATTCAGAAGAATAAATAGTTGGAAAAAAATAGAGAATTTTTTTTTAGTGCGATTTAAGGACGTTGTAAAGTAATTGGGATTATTTGCGGTTTATCTGGTAAAGGAGGGGTAAAAAAAGATAGGCGAAGCAGAAAAAAGTGCTTAGAAGAAAGAAGAAAAAAAAGGCAGAAACAAAAAATACAGGAAGGGGAGGGAAAAGGAAAAAAGGTATTTGAAAAAAATTGAAATAAAAACCCACATTTGGAAAAAAAAGCAGACTTCTTAATTG